GATCCCCCCTCCTCGCTAGGCATGGTCCTCCTTTTGTACTCTAAGGGGATACTACATGTGCTGCGAATGCTATCTAGGGAGAAGGAAAAATATTCTCTATATTAATTACATGTCTTGTGCCTTAGCCCAGAAGCTATCTGCACGTCGGTTGCTGCGCGGGGCCCCTCAAATCATGCAAGGCGCCTTTGTCATTCGCCATTTAATGGATGAGAACTTTCGGGTTCTCGTTCACACTAGAAAACGGGAACCCGGGTCAGTTCAGAGTGGTTGTACTAGCTCTGACCGAGGTAAGAGGCTGTGAAGCCCCTCATCATTATGATGGGACGGGATGGAGCACGCCGCTCGCCGCCTGACACACAGATAGGGTGGGGGGTACACAGTCGCCGTCCCATCCGTCATTCAACCGGTCACAGACCGGTCAGATGCGTAGCACGCCGCATTAAATGCGGCATGGCGCGGTTGCATAGACCGCTTTAAATGCAGTTAGGTGGGCGTTAGACGCGCCCACCTAACCTTGTACACGTGGGCTGATACGTGGAGGGGGTCGGAGCAGCTCGACCCCATGCGAGGGCGGCCTCCTCCCTCTAGCTGGGAGGGGGCAGCCGCCGCACCACCCTAAGCTCGATCCCCCTCGGGGGGAGCCACATGGGTTTGAGGGCGACTTGACCCCAAGCTGGGAGGGGGCAGCCACCGCAACACCCCGGGCTCGACCCCCCTCGGGGAGAGCCACGTGGGTTTGAGGGCGGCCTCCTCCCTCTAGCTGGGAGGGGGTAACCACCGCGCCACCCCGGGCTCGACCCCACTCGGGGGGAGCCACGTGGGTTTGGGGCCGGCCCGACCCCAAGCTGGGAGGGGGCAGCCGCCGCAACACCCCGGGCTCGTCCCCCCTCGGGGGGAGCCATGTGGGTTTGAGGGCGGCCTCCTCCCTCTAGCTGAGAGGGGGTAGCTGCCGTGCCACCCTGGGCTCGACCCCCCTCGGGGGGAGCCACGTGGGTTTGAGGGCGGCCCGACCCCAAGCTGAGAGGGGGCAGCCGCCGCAACACCCCGGGCTCGACCCCCCTCGGGGCGAGCCACGTGGGTTTGAGGGCGGCCTCCTCCCTCTAACTGGGAGGGGTAGCGACGTGATACCCTCGGGCCCATATCACCAACAGATAGTGAGAAAAAAGTTCCAACAAGGCTCTGATACCAGATTATTAGCAACCTAACTTGTATCTCACTCAAACACTCAAGAACACACGAATTTCTCACCAAATCTGACAGGATTGACGATGACCTCGCGCATGATCAGCTTCACAACCTCCGGATTGATGGGGTGGTCTCTAGCCGCCAAGCACCTAAGCTTCTTCTCCTCCTCGGTTTATATATCCACAAATTAATAGTAGTATTCTAAGTCAAATATTACAGAAATATTTAGATTCTAAGTCTCATAATTAAGAAACAACTTTGATGAATTACTACCATTCATCTACGAAACGAAATATCGACTAATTTTTCCTTACAAAATGTCAACATATTGTAGGTACTCCCTATAGTATTGACCCTCCTAATCCCCTCCCTCTCAGGCTGTGTTTAGTTCCACGCCAGAATTGGAAGTTTGAAGAAATTGGAACGATGTGATGGAAAAGTTGAAAGTTTGTATGTGTAGGAAAGTTTGATGTGACGAAAAAGTTAGAAGTATGAAGAAAAAGTTGGGAACTAAATAAGGCCTCACTTATATGTGGGTCCAACCTGATTTTAAATCTTAAACTATGCTGTGTTCAATTGTCAATTTCTCCAACTTTTTCACGCGAACGTTTATCAAACTACTGTAAATAAATAATAATTTTTTTATAAAATAATTATATATAAATGTTGTTTTAAAAAAATATGTTAATCCATTTTAAGGTTTTCTTAAGCTAATAGTTAATTAATTAGTATGTGCTAATGAGCTACTCGTTTTCCATGTAGTGGGATTGAGTTCGCAAAGCATATGTTTCACTGTTTAGATCCGAAACAAATCTCTCGTGCATATGGAACGAAGAGACTTATTAGCACATGATATATTAATATGCTTTTTAGAACAACTTTTCTATATTTTTTTTTGTCAAAACACATCGTTTAATTAGGAGTTTAAGAAGCGTGTACGCGAAAAACGAGTGAGGAGAGTTGGAAAGTTGACTATCGAACATAGCTAGCCTCCGGCTCCACACCCAAGATTTTGCTGAAATTTTGAAAATCGTTTACAAATATTTGAATTGAATGTACGTTTCACCGGAAACTTAATTCCTAGACGCTAGAAATCAGTGTTGGCTAGCTGTAATAGATGAACTTGCTGGTAATTCCATCTCGGCCATTACATGTAGCACAAAATCATCACATCGATTATGGACTAACTAGCCCGCCGTAATTCCATTGCGCGTACAAGATCTAGATTAACAGCTGACAAAAAAAAAGAGCACATGGTAATCTACCTACTAACTAATAATGACAAATTAAGTGGCGATCGACATGAGCTCGCTAGTCTTGTGCGGCACTGTCTCCTGTGCGGCGCCTCTGTCGTGGCGGCTCCTGATCCTGCTCCTTCTCCGTCTCCGGTGTCGGCCTCTTATGCACGACGACGACGGGACTTGCTGCTCGGTTGGCATCGGCTAACAAGACCGCAGAGAACGCTTGTGATTCCGCAATCTCCGCCTCGGCCGTCGCGGCGTGCTTCTGCAGCGCCTGCACGATCTCCTCCTCCCCCGCGAAGGCGGCGGCGCCACGCGTGAGCTTCTCCTTCAACACGGTCATCTTCTCCACCACGGCGTCCTCGAACTTGATCGCGCTGGCCAACAACCCGGCCTTGCGGCTACGGACGGCATCACCGCCGGAGTCCTGCAGGACCAGTGATTTGGTGGACACGCGCATGGCGGTGATCAGCGCCGCAAGCTCCGGAATGACGGGGTGGTCTCTCGCCGCCATGCACCTGAGCTCCTTCTCCAGCAAGCGCCGCGCGGCGGAGGCGATCTCCACCGCCTCCGCGCGGCGCGCGTCGGCCCACGCGACGTGCTTCCTGAGCACCGCCTCCTCGGGCCTCCCTGTCCCGGCGAACACGGCCAGGCCCCTCCTGAGATCCAGCACATAGGACGCCATGTTATCCGCCGCCGACTGGGCGGAGATCACTGCACCTTCCGCCCAGTCCACCTGCTCCGGCGAGGGAGGGTCGGGGTCCTCAAGGTACTCGGTGGCTTCAGACAGCGCTGTGGCCGTGATCTCCTCACACTCTCGGTCGTCGGCCTCTTCCTCCGGGCCGGCCTCCATGAGCTCGGCGATGAGCTCCTGGAGGTCATCGTCGACGGCGGGCGGCATGTCGTCCGCCATGATCGATCGATGGATGCACGCACTACCTACCGTCCGTGTTACCGCCAAAAATTGCAAAGCCCAAAACCTTGGAGATATGGGACGGAATCGATGGATGGATGTCCCTCGATAAATAGACACGACTGCCGATCCGAGTCGGAGTACGTGTACCCGACGGACCGATTTCCTTTCCGATCCAATCGCGTGATCGAGATGGAGGCCGAACGAGGGCCCAACTTCACTGTTGGGCTGCTCGCAGCCGCGGAGCCCAGCCCATCTGCAACTGCAAGAGTTTTCGCAGTAACATTGAACAATTATGCCATATACTCCATTTGTCGATAAATTCTCTCTCAAAAATTGACAGATATAGCGAAAGAGCCTGTAACCTAGTGGTTACAAGAGTCTCAGTAGCACCTAAGGTCCTAGGTTCGACTATTTATGGGAGCGAATTTTTCAGGATTTAACAGCGTTGTGCTTTCAGTGGTAGGTGGCGTACCCGTTGACAGCGAGGTGCCTGTAGTGACGGCGCACGAACATGTGAGAAGATTCGTTCCCACGACTGCCATTTCACGAAAATACTCTGGTTCGGTTGATATATTTGTGTACCTATTTATACATATATGTTAGTTAATCTAAGTCGATTATTTAATTTATTTGTATCGGTCAGATCTTTTGTGTACCTATTTATCATATATGTTAGTTAATCTAAGTTGATTATTTAATTTATTTGTATCGGTCAGATGTTTTGTAGGGTTTTACCGGTATTGGCTAAATTGCTTTGTCGATCTAGATTAGTTAATGTATCTACCACATTGAAAATCAGTCAAGAAGATTGTCTAGATATTATGTTCCTTTAATACTTTGTGCTGCATCAGTCCTAGTCATGCTTAGAACCATAATCTCTAACATGTTTTTTGATTGCTAATAGGGTTTCATCGGGGTTTCAACCGATGAGTTATCTGGACGTTGCATCGGATTATAAGGATTACATACAAGTTGGTTTTAACAGATTGCAACAAATGTTTCATTGATTATCTAATCGTTTGGACATCGGAACACCAGCCGATGTATGCTTTAACCATCGAATCAGCACTCATTCTATCATATCATTATTAGTTGATTGGTTTCTATTATTGTTTTATTATATTACCATCAGTCGATTGTATTTATATCATTATTTACTCAAGTGTCAAAATCTACACTAGGCATATAGCCGGTTGCTCAAAACCCTATCGACATCGGCTAGCGTTGCTATATCGGCTTGTCAACCGATTGGCTCTTTAATTTTTACTTTATACATCTTGTCGGTTACATAATCAAACTGAGTGGCACATCCGCATCTCATCAATATTTTGGATCTGCATTGGAGCTAAGCAGATCTCCCAGACCGTTGTGTTCGTCGACTTTGTTCGCACCAACACATATCTCGCACCATTGCTCGAGCGTAGATTTTTCGTCAACAACCATATGTAACCATATGTGAGAAGATTCCTTCGCATGACCAGACGACCTCCATTTAACAAAATCAGCATGTTACGGAGGAATTTTTAAAAGTTATATATATACATTAAAATTACAATATAGTTACACCACAATTATACTATAATTATATTTGTCAAAATTCTGAAATAAAATGTGTCGATAAATTATGCAGGTGCAGGTGGGTTAAAGAGGTGGGGCCGAGGACTTGTTTCTCCTTCTTCTCTCCTTGTCTCGTCTTCTTCCGAGCGGCGAGGCGAGGGCGGCGTTGGCGACGGGCGGTGGTCGTCTGGGCTTGGAGGAGAGGCCACCGTGGCGGCAGCGAGCGGTGGCCGGAGGAGCAGCGCTCGGGCGGGGACGAATCGACCCGGCGTGGCGGGCGTCGTTCGGGAGCGTGGAGGCGGCGGGGCTTCGGCAACGTCCCGAGGTTGCCGGCAGCGAGGTGGATCGGGGCGTACGGTGGGGAGGAAGAGGGAAGCGGTGGTGGTCGGTGGAGGCCGGCATGTTGGGCGGCGCGGCTAGGCGAGGGGGAGAGGAGGCTAGTGGCTAGCTCGCTCAGTGCGACTCTGACCGCGGCACGCGGCACGCGGGCTTTTACAGCCGCCATGACCGCGAGGAGGGCGAGGACGGCGTGGGACGGGAGCAGGTGGCTGTAGCGGCGTGCGACCGCATGCACTGGCGGCGGCGGGAGGCAACGGGGCGAGGAGTAGGGGCATGGGCTCGATGCGACGCGGCGAGGCCGTCTTGGTCCGCGGGTATGGCGTGGACTTCTGGCGACGAGGCGTTGCGGTGACGGCGGCTACAGTGGCGCGCCGGCTTTGAGGAGAGGCGCGGTGGCTCGCTGCTCGGACCGCAGCGGTGCGGCATTTTGTCGAGCAGGTGGCGTGCGAGGGCGGCTGTCTCGGGGCAAGGCCGTGGGCTGGCTGAGAGATGTGGCTTAGGTTGAATAATATGCCTTAGGATTGAGAATTGGAGGGAATTCATTAGGTGTTAAGTTTGGATTTTGATTTTGAATGGTTTCTAATTTTAGAGGGGAGTGTGAGGATGTATGAATTGAGATCCTAACTGAAATTTATCTTGGGAGAACCTCTTGTTGATTAAAAAACAGACAATATTTGTCTTTTGCAGGCAGTTTCATAAGATGGTTTTACTCCAGAAAAGAAGTTCTCTAAGCTGCCATCAGGAGGATTAAGGGAGCTCATTGGTGCATACTTAACACTTCTCCAGAATTTCTTTTTGAAGTTGTGCATAAGTATTGTTAGTGAGATGGTTCACTTTTGTAGGTCAAGATGGCATAGGCAGGAGCAACATCATGGAAGCAGAAGGTATTTTGAAAGATCTGATTGATGATAAGGTGAACAATGTTGATGCCGAGTTGCATGTCTTACAAGAAGAGCATGAAAAAGACCTGCTCGAGCATGACAGTAAGTTAAGTTTTATCTCTATTCCTTCCCCACCCACACACATGTTGCACTATTTTACTTATCCTTAAGTAAAAAAACACTGTGTTACATAGTATTATTATACGCAAATAAGGATGATCATCTTGCATTTCACAAACATAAGCTGATTATCAACCCTCAAATAATAATCCTCTCTGTTCTTTTCTTGAAAGGAACGGCCCAAAAGAAGAGGAGGCCCAGGAAATGGGAAGCCCAAAGCCCAGATCAGATTGGCAAACAGCAATAAAGCGGGGCGAATACCCCAGTTTCCCTCTCTCCCCCGCCGAGCCTTCGTCGTCAGCTGGTGTTACCCCAGCTTGAATTCTCTGCAAGACAGCAAGTTCTTCCCTACTCCCTCTCCACCCTGCGCAATTCCCTCGCATTCTCATCCTACTCCAAGAGCAGAGGAGGAAGGAGATGGAGAGGCAGGACGGCGACGCTGAGGGATCGGGACGGGGAGAGCATAGGAGCAGAGGCTGCCGTTCCCCGGCAGAGACCAAGACTGACCGAAGCCCCGGCATTCCCAGGTCAGGAGGACCAGCGAATCCATTCTCTTCTCGTTCGTCTTCGCGTTCTTGCATTTCTTTTCGACCGTTTCAATCGCAGTTCCACCGCCATTCTTCCTTGCTGTCTTTCTTGGTCGGTGTTCTTGAAGTTCTCGTTTGGTTTGCTGCAAGAAGCATATCTGATCGATTGATTGCAGAGTTCTGGAGGTGGGGTTCGCCACCGTGCGAGAACACCACGGGACCAAGAGCACCACGGGACCCCAAAAGAGCAACAACCTCCAGAACAAGAAGATAAAATCAAGAGAAGATGGCAGAGAACCGGAGGCCGCAGAGTTGAGACGGGGCGAGAGGAGAAGGTCAGGACCTGCGAATCTTTCTTTCCCTTCTTGTTCTTTGTTTCTTGCTGCGTTCTTGCTTTGTTTTCGATCGTCTCAATCCCTGCAGCTTTCTTGCGTTGGTTTTCTTGCCAAGTTGTGTTTGGCTTCACACGTGTCTGATCGATGTGCAGAGACCACGAGGTGGTATTTGCCGCTGCTGCGCGAGATCCACCTACACTGCAGCGCCCCGACTTCGACTGCGTGCGTCAGAACAAACATCCCAATGGTAATCAGTCTCTCTCCTGTCCTGCTCTGTGTCCGGTTTAATTCTTTTCCTTTACTCTGGGAACGAACATGCATGTATAAAAGCCTATGTACTAGTTGTTGATCCATGTCCATGAATCTGGATTGAAATGTTAACAGATATTGGCAATATCTGTAAATTCTTGTTGGAACCATGCGGAAACTTAATCTAGTTAAGTTCACTGATGCTTTGACACCTTGGTTTCTGAAACTGGATCCTTGTTTCTTGCACTCCTGCCTTTATTTCAAAAGAGAAAAAAAGTAACTTCAGAATTTCCAACAAGAAACTGATCTTTTTTTTTTCTTCCTGCAAAATGCAAATGCAAGTTCACTGATTCATAGAGAGTTGTTTAAGTTACTCCAATCTGATTTTCTTTCACTACAAGAACTAGTCCTGGTGTTCAGTTTTGACAAACTTCTATGATATAAAAACTCCCTGATATGAGAAGCTGACATGTGTATGTGTGGCCATGCACCCAGCCAATACTGAGAATGAGATGACGGGCGGTGATCTCGAGAAAGCAAGTGGAAGCTTACTAGACCAGAGCAAGCAACCGCTGAACATAAAGAGGGATCGTCGCAGGCTAGAAGAAGTCAGGTTAGTGACTTCTCTGCTCCCTTCTTATGCGCAAATATGTATTGTTGGTTGCTCTGTTTGATCTGATAATAACTGTTAGAATTGAGATTATGTTGTTGGTGAATCTGACAAATTGTTGAACCCTAGTGATAAAATGTGGAAGGATGAAGCGAAGGAGATTGGAAGCAGGTCGCCAGCACTAACAAAGGGGAGCACGAAAGAGTCTCAGATGCTTCAGTCTCTCGGTAAATATATTTGAATTTGGGCTTGCTCTTTTGAACTGTGGAGTGGAGTTGATTGGGCCTGTTTTTACTTTTGGTGTGTGTGGATGCACTATCAGGTGCACAAACTGCTAAGAGCTCCAGTGGTTGTCAGGGAAAAAAATGCTAGTGTCCAACTCAATGGCTTCAGGGCAGCCACGGCATCTTTTTTCTTACACCCTATACACCCAGTGTAGTTTGATATCTATATCAGGTCATGTCCAGAGTAACGAGTGGATATTTCAATTAATCAGGATGGAAATTCCAACTAGGTTAATTGCTTGCTCTTGGTTTCACAACTTGTAAATTCTCGTCTCATGCATGGAAACCGTACAGAAACCTCTAATCTAGTTAAGCATGTCAATTCATACTGTAACAACATGCATGATTTCTGACAAGAAACAGAATTCATTGTTTATGTTTTGCTGTTACTTGACAAAACAACAAGCTGATCCTCCCTAATTTCTTGTAAAATGGTATCTTGTTGTTTTGTATCATGTTAAGTAATAATTATGTAACTACAAAAGGATTATTGGAAAGTGATTATTTTGCCAATTTGGAAAGGGAACGTTCACACTCTCAGTGTGCAATTTTGTAGATGAAATTGACTCAACATCAGTACCTGAAAATTGACTTTGAAACTGTGGTAACCCTTGGAACACTTCAATTTTACCTCCAAAATGTGTCCGCACCCCACTTAACATGCCTTTTCCAAACATTTCTTCTTGTAGATGGCAAAGCAAAAAACGCTCAGAAAAGAAGGAAAGATGCTAAGCAAGAACTCCGCAGCAAGATTCCAGGAGTGACACTGGTTTCTGATGACTCACTGTTTGGGCAAGCAGCTAATTACATCGAAGACCTTGAAGGGACATCACTTGACTTAGAAGGCTTATCTGGAACTGCCATGATCAGAAAAGTTCTTCCTGGTTCAAATAAAATACGAGGTGTTACCGCGCTTTTTGAGGCAGCGAGCAGACATATAACAGAAGGTAAGTAGGTAGAATACATTCGGATATGATTCAAGAGCAAATTTCTGCTGACTTCTTTAACCTTTAATTTTCCTTGTATCCACTACGCATTTGCAGTTAAAAAGAAAAAGAAAATTGCCCCTGAAGAAGTTGAAAAGGAATTTCGTCCTGGAGTTGATGCCCATGATGGCCGAGCTGGGAAAAAATTGACCAACATGATTCCCATTCCTGTAAGTATTTATTCCCCACCGACGATTGAGCATATGTGCTCAGATTGAGATTCTTCTTGATGCTAGTTATCAGACAGCTCTCAATGTCCTACTTATACATGGAAATTATTTGCAAGCATTGGTATATTTTTTACTTAGTTCAGTTGTCAGTCTGCTTTGGTTGGAAAACCTGTATCTCCAATTCTCCTCACCATCACCAAGGAACTTGTTGTGTTCCTAGGCGTTTTGTTATCTTTCATGTTATATCTCAAAAGTAACTTATGTCCCTCTGTTATTGTAGCATATTCCAAAAATAAATGGCGATATTCCTTCTGCCATTGAAGCCTTTGCAGATCACCAAAGACTGCTTGACAGGTAAATAGCCCTGTAGTATATTTTTAACTGTATTTCCAAATCTACGACCGATAGAATGTGAACCTCATGGCAGCTTTTGTATGTTCAGTGTTAGTAATGTGAGTCACCATAGGTGTTTCACTTAATGTTGCTTCTAAAATTTGACTCATGGCACGATGTGATTTCTTATTTAGGTTGGTGCTGTATGATCTGGCTGAAGTCAAGGTTAAAGGAGACAGGAATTGCCAGGTATACTTAAAATATCTAGCCATTTCCCTTTTCCTTAATTTTACTACATGTTGTACTTATCTCTTTTAGCATGTGTCTTTTACTCAGTTCCGAGCATTGTCAGATCAAATGTACCACACCACCGAACACCACAGGTTTGTTCGTCAGCAAGTAGTGAAACAGGTTAGTGTTGGTGCAGTCATCATGTTTTCTTGTTAGAACTCTACTTGTCCATGCTCATGTTTCCCTTTTGAACTGTTCCACAGCTTGAGTCTTATCCTGAAATTTATGCGGGTTATGTCCCTATGGATTATAGGGAATATCTGAAGAAGATGACAGAGTAAGTAATTGCTCTTTTTGTAACAAGAAAATCTTTGTTATAGTGTAACATTATGCATTTAAAATTTGTTGCCACAAAATCGACCAGGGATGGAGAGTGGGGTGACCATGTTACGCTTCAGGCTGCTGCCGACTTGGTAAACAAGATGTTTCCTCACTTCCTGAGTTGTTAAATAAAAATTGCTGTCTTGTACATTGGCCATATTATGAAGTATACAGATCAATAGTTCTTTGTATTGGACAGTATGGTTGTAGATTCATTAATTGACAAATAATCAAAAGAAATAATGCTATTTTCTGTGGTTTTTATTTTGGTAACCAGCATGTCTCAACAGCTATATTGCAATCTTGTGCATCTTAGGATTATGTGAATGATCTAGGGATGTTGTATGTCGATCCTTGTTATAAATGTGAAACTCAAGTATCCGCATTGGTTTTTGCAGTATGGTGTAAAGATAACCCTGCTGACATCATGCAGAGATACCTTTTACATTGAAGTTCTTCCTGCTGACCAGAAACCAAAAGGAGGTAGCCTTTTTTTTTGGCAATTGAATTTTTACTGCAATTAATATACTAACTGCACTGTTCTTAGTTGATTTGCCTAGTAGGTCATACTTACTTGAGTAGATGTGTATCTGATGTATTTCTGTTTATTTTTGTTTTCTCCCAAAACCCAGAGATATGCATTAGTTTTTGGGCTGAGGTGCACTACGATTCGGTATATGCAGAAAAAGGTACAGTTTGTCGTTTTGATACAGTGTTCTTCTAGGAGTACTAGTATCTCTTTGGCAGGTTGATGCTGTAGCTCATGTGTGCAAGTTGTGGTGCAGCCAGTTGATCCAGTTCCGTTACAACCTAGTCGTCGGCGAGGAACTGCGACGCCCGGCGAGCAGGAAGAACTTTTATTCTAGAGAATTGAGAGAAAAGCAGAAGGGGAGAGAGAGAGAGAGAGAGAGAGAGAGAGATTGTTTTCTTACATTTTCAACTTGTATATATACGCTACAGCAGCTGGAGATTTATATAGTCAGCACTCGTTTGCCCTCTGGGCCCCACACAGTAGACTCACACAACTAATACGCTTTCTTTACTTGAAGATGCCTTTCCCCGTTACGCCTTGCTCTGTTCTTCCTCCCCGCAATAACGTGCTGCTCTATTCTCCCAGCTATGCCATATAAAAGAAAAGGAGGAGGCAATCTCTAGAGGAGCAACTACAAATTAAAGAGCCATTTAATTTCTTGTTGGTCAGAGATCATTGGCCTGTTGCTGTTGGGCTACGATGTTCATTTTACATTCCTGTTCTTAAAGAGATGTTCAGTAACTGCCCGGGAACACTTACTGTACAGATACATCTTTGGTGAATATAGTATATGGGCCAATAGTTTCATAGACCTTTCGTTCCATGGCGATGTGCAGCGATAGGACCGAGCCGTTCCAACCATCATGCGAAATTCGTTGTCCTACACAAATCTCCTTCTTAAGTCGTCGCTGTTTCACGGGGATGCCGTTTGGTGACGCCGGCCCACATTCGAACATGCAGTCAATGGCTCTCAAAAATGTCCATCCCCCAATACCCCCCATCACTCTCTGTGCTCCCCCATCTGGGTCTTTGTCAAAAATTCCTTCGTTGGGTGTGTGTTCATATCGGTTCAATGTTCTAATTTGTCCCTCTGCATACATCATTCCAGTTCGGATGCATTGTATCTATCGCTCCCTGCACAGCCTCACAACCTTCATACATCTACAGTTCTTTTTGTTCTTGTGTTTAGCCTTTAAAGGTTTAAAGCATCTCGATTTCGAGGCAAGATTTGTCTCCTCGAACGGAATGTCCACTATCCCCCTTGTTAAAAAGATGGAATTTTCTTCATTACAGGATGTCGGGTCGAGGGAAGAAGAAGAATGGAGTGTCCTTCAATATTCCTTTTACACTGCCGATTTTCACCCGATTGACTTAGGTCTTGTTCGTTTCTCCAACTAGACGGTGATGAAATTTTGAATACTCATGACACGCTTTTTAAACTACTAAACGGTATGTTTCGTGCGAAAACTTTCTATATGAAAGTTGTTTTAAAATGTCAGATTAGTATATTTTTCAAGTTTATAATAATTAAAACTCAATTAATTACACGTTATTACCATTTCGTTTTATGTGAAACACTTAATCTTTATCTTCATCTTCAGTAGATTCAAACAACACCTCATTATTTTGTACATGAAGAGTGAACAAAGAAAGATACTTCGTGTAAGAATGGTACTAGAAACAAGGTTTCTGAACTTTGTGTGGATGCCAGCATTAATGCTTATGCTTTAGGTTCAAATTTAATGTTTCCCATGATTTATTCATTGATTAGATTGCTGCCAATTGTTTGCGCCCCATTTTTGACGTGATTTTCTGGGGAAATCCTAACAGTATGATACTATGCTAACACTTTGATTTGGTATGATGTTCTGCCATGTTCATAGTTCAGGAAAAACAAATTTGTTCAGTCGAAAACAGTATTATGCATATGATGGCCCACAGATAAATAAGAGGCACAGAGTGGAATGTCGTGTGGCGGTGTGGGCCACGCAAGTCCATCTACGAATCGGATCCACGGAAGTACACGGACTCCGAATCGGATCCTCTCCATCTCTCTATTTATTGGGGCCCGCCTTCAAGGGAGATTTGCTTCCCATCCTGTCCAACAGATCACTAATTTTGCATACCGCCATAGTTTTGCCGTGCATAGATCGATCGATCATGGCGGACGACATGCCGCCCGCCGTCGACGATGACCTCCAGGAGCTCATCGACGAGCTGATGGAGGACGATGCCGAGGACCGAGAGCACGAGGAAATCTCGGCGACAGCGCTGTCTGAAGCCACCGAGTACCTTGTGGACCCCGACCCTCCCTCGCCGGAGCAGGTGGGATGGGCGGAAGGTGCAGTGATCTCCGCCCAGTCGGCGGCGGATAACATGGCGTCCTATGTGCTCGATCTCAGGAGGGCTCTGGCCGTGTTCGCCGGGACAGGGAGGCCCGAGGAGGCGGTGCTCAGGAAGCACGTCGCGTGGGCCGACGCGCGCCGCGCGGAGGCGGTGGAGATCGCCTCCGCCGCGCGGCGCTTGCTGGAGAAGGAGCTCAGGTGCATGGCGGCGAGAGACCACCCCGTCATTCCGGAGCTTGCGGCGCTGATCACCGCCATGCGCGTGTCCACCAAATCACTGGTCCTGCAGGACTCCGGCGGTGATGCCGTCCGTAGCCGCAAGGCCGGGTTGTTGGCCAGCGCGATCAAGTTCGAGGACGCCGTGGTGGAGAAGATGACCGTGTTGAAGGAGAAGCTCACGCGTGGCGCCGCCGCCTTCGCGGGGGAGGGGGAGATCGTGCAGGCGCTGCAGAAGCACGCCGCGACGGCCGAGGCGGAGATTGCGGAATCACAAGCGTTCTCTGCGGTCTTGTTAGCCGATGCCAACCGAGCAGCAAGTCCCGTCGTCGTCGTGCATAAGAGGCCGACGCCGGAGACGGAGAAGGAGCAGGATCAGGAGCCGCCACGACAGAGGCGCCGCACAGGAGACAGTGCCGCACAAGACTAGCGAGCTCATGTCGATCGCCACTTAATTTGTCATTATTAGTTAGTAGGTAGATTACCATGTGCTTTTTTTTTTGTCAGCTGTTAATCTAGATCTTGTACGCGCAATGGAATTACGGCGGGCTAGTAAACTGATCAGGGCTACTAAAGAAATTTGCTGAATCTTGCCGAACGTGTACAGTAAACTGACGAACAAATGCAGAGAACGAAAAACTATCGAGAGTTTGTGCTCCGAACTATCGACAGCCTTTTCTGATTTCTCTTCTTCTCCTTTTATTAGATTAGATCTATTGGGAGTTTGTTACATGCATAACAATCAACGACTTTACCTGATCCAATCTCAGCTCGGTCGGCTAACCGAAAACAAACGATGCGGCTACTCTAGCCCGATGGTGATCTGAACCCGGTCAGCCACTTATTATTACATGCATGACTAAGTAAAAACAGATAGAAAAAAGAACAAGCTAGACTAGAATGTGCAAGAGTATACGACAAATCCATCAGAGATAACCCCTCACATACTCCCTCGCCTCGCTTATGCGATTCTCCCCCAATGGATTAGCAGGGCTGTCTGCTGGTCTTAAGTTTTCTCCAACCAAAAAGAGACACAATGTGCCAGTGCCACTACTAAGCATTCAGCGCCCCGGGGGGGGGGGGGGGGGGGGGGAGGCGGTCAGTCGCCCCCCCTCTAGTATCTACTATACTTATGTATAGACTACATATACACACGCATATACATATGTATGTATATAGAGTTATGAATATTTTTTAATGTGTAAAAATATATACACATATACAAAGTTTATATAGGACATATATGAACTTTGTATATGATGTATATGAACTTTGTATACAACATACATACGTATTTAAAAAATAAAAAAAAATTGCATCACATATATAAAGTTTGCATACGCGTATACAAACTTTGCATATGTACGAATACAAACTTTGTATTCATATATCTAAAAAAACGAAAAAAAACAGAAGAGAAACCGAAAAAAAAGGAAAACCAATCTTAACATAAACAAAAAAAAAGGAAAAAAACAGCCAACCGAACAGAAACAGAAAACACGGAAAAGCAAAAAAAAAAAAGAAGGGAAAAGTCGGTCTCCCGCGCGACGCGTCCGCCGCCCCCTCTCCGCGCCATAGTATAAAAACTCGGACCGGAGCTTGACCCGGCGGACCTTTCGGTTCACCGGTCCGCCGGTCTGACCAATGAACCGGCGGTTCAACCGCGATTTTTTACATATAGGTATAGTGCATGTTTGCTAGTAGTCACAAGTGATATACAACCTCAACCCACAGACCTGAGGTCGATTCCCAAGTATGCACCCATTTTTGCCAAAAAATTCGAGGTACCAATATGATGTGGACCATACTGGGCCTCTCATTGGCCCATTACAAACCTTCACTGGTCCAACCGTAGGCGGTTTAATCTCCGGTTCAACACAAAACCGCCCGGTTCAGCCGGTTCACAGCGGTTCGAATGCATGTCGGTTCCGGTTTTTTCCGGTTCAACCGCCGGACCGGTCCAGTTTTTTCCACTATGCTCCGCGCATGACACGTGTCCAGTCGCGCGGGGAGGGACGCGGGGGGGGGGGGGGGGGGGGAGGGGCTGGGCTGATACGCGATCAGCCGCACGCGGTCAGTCGCCCCCCTCTAGTCTCTTCCCTGTATCTACTATACTTATGTATAGACTACATATACACACGCATATACATATGTATGTATATATAGTTATGAATATTTTTTAATGTGTAAAAATATATACACATATACAAAGTTTATATACGATGTATACAAAGTTTATATAGGACATATATGAACTTTGTATATGATGTATATGAACTTTGTATACGATGTATACAAAGTTCATATACATACATATTTAAAAAATAAGAAAAAAGAAATTGCATCACAGATACAAAGTTTGCATACGCGTATACAAACTTTGCATATGTACGAATACAAACTTTGTATTCATATATCTAAAAAAACGAAAAAAAACAGAAGAGAAACCCAAAAAAAATGGAAAACCAATCTTAACAGAAACAAAAAAAAAAAGGAAAAAACAGCAACCGAACAGAAACAGAAAACATGGAAAAGCAAAAAAAAATAAAAGAAGGGAAAAGTCGGTCTCCCGCGCGGCGCGTCCGCCGCCCCCTCTCCGCGCCATAGAATAAAAACTCGGACCGGAGCTTGACCCGGCAGACCTTTCGGTTCACCGGTCTGACCGATGAACCGGCGGTTCAACCGTGATTTTTTACGTATAGGTATAGTGCATGTTTGCTAGTAGTCACAAGTGATATACAACCTCAACCCACAGACCTGAGGTCGATTCCCAAGTATGCACCTATTTTTTGCCAAAAAATTCGAGGCACCAATATGATATGGACCATACTCGGCCTCTCATTGGCCCATTACAAACCTTCACTGGTCCAACCGTAGGCGGTTTAATCTACGGTTCAACACAAAACCGCCCAGTTCAGCCGGTTCACAGCGGTTCGAATGCATGTCGGTTCTGGT